TTTTTTTTTTTTTTTTTTTTTTTGGTACCGGGGATCAAATTCAGGCCCTTGCACTTTCAACACAGGCAGCAGAAACACTGAGTCAAAACCGGATCTAGCTCTTTTTTGAACAGAATTAAACTAGGCACAGCAGGACATATAGTACCTCTGGATTTAATCCACCACAGACCAGAGCTGTCCTCCTATCAATGAACACCAGTAATGATGCTCCCTCCCAAGGCTCCCCAAATTCCCTGAAGGGAAATCCCTTTCCTGTTAGAGGTGCTAGTCTACCTGGGAGTCAGCTGCACCGAGCCAGTCTCAGTTTCCATAGCCACCTTCCCATACTCCGTGCTTACCTGCCTCTTTCCCTCCGTGGCACCCAAAGTGTAGTCCTGGCCCAGCCCCTGGGAGTCCACAGGCTGTATAGTAGGAATATCTTCTATCAGTCACCTTTATGTCCCCAGGAGTCACACAATCTGAAACGAGGAACATGTTCAATAACGTTGTTGAATAAGTGACTTTTACAAAGTAGAAAAGAACAACTCTGAGAGCATAAAGATTAAAGATACTGTCATCCATTAAAATGTGATCTTTTCCAATATATCTACTTTATCCCGAAGACAATATGATAAAATGGGCATTTTATAATCTTTTTTCCCTCTTTGTATCTTCATCTATTTCTGCATAGTCCATAGTCTTTTATTCAACGTATTCAGTACCAATTGCATCCAGGCACTAAGCCATACTTTCTTTTGATATATTCACAATTCATTATGAGAAACAGCAAAGTAAAGAATTTGATGTATTTAAATGTAACATTATGCCTCCCCGGTGGTTTCAGAGGAAGGAGTGATTAATGCTGACTAGGGTATTTGGGGAGAATTTTTCAGAGTATGGGATCCATACCTTCCATATATAATAATGCAAAGCTTCCTATTTGAGTCTCTCATAAAAGGGAAATATGAAGACATATGTGATTTATTCACTGCACTTTTCAATGTCTCTCAAAAACAAAAGGTAAGCATTCCAGAAATAAGTTAAACAAATGAGCCCTTATTGAGTAACTCAGGGACCTTCTGCAGATCTGAGATCAACTGTTAAAACTGACCAGCCAAAGGGGATGGTGCTATTATTGTAAGTCTCTTATCAAACAGGCAGTTTGAAATTAAACCATTGGGGTTTTTTCCAACTCAATGTAATGAGTTTGATACTTGTACTCTGAGGAAATTCACCATTAAAATATATATTTCTGAATTCAAGAAGTAAATAATTATGGATATGTTTAGGATGGTTTGCGGGGATGGTGGTAAAATATCAAAACCGAAATACTTTTGATATTGTAATATGTAAGAATTATAACATAGATATCTGCTTTATTCTTCTCTTTCCCAGAGTATTCTAGCTTCTGGCATGTCTGAAGCATGTAACAGATATTTGTTGAATAAATTAATGCATACATAAATGAAATAATCTACGTTTCCATTTGTTTTGATCACCAGAAGTTTTACTAAAACTACTGGGCTTTAAAGAAGTAAAAAATATTCAAAGAGAACCAAAAGGTTTGTTCTTCTCATCCTAGAATAAATGCTATCTTTGAGGCACTGAGGATTCAAGGTCAGGGAACACTGTGACCTGCAGAACCTAGCACAAAGGTGACTTTTTCCCCCTCCATTTCTTCTCCTTCTTTCTCTTCACAGGTTTTATGAGCTGGTGCCAGCAGAGTTTAGATGGTATGTGCTTTACACTTGAATGAAGGTTTCCTGCCCTAGGTTCTGGGAGCTCCACTCTGCTGCCTCCATCTGCTGCTTCTGATAAATGCTCATATTTTAAATATATTACAATCAGCACACTCCCAAAGTTGTTTGCTGGCCCTATCCAGCAGACAACTTCACTGGCACAGAGCCACTTCTTGTGTGGAAAGACTGTGGGTGGAGAGATGACTTAGCCTCTGGAGAAGACAGATAAAAGAGACAGAGGGGAGGGCCGGAGGTTTAGCTCAGTTGTGCCACCGCCTGCCTCACAAGAGCAAAGTCCTGAGTTCAATCCCTGGTACCAAAAAAGGATGGGGAGGAGACAGCCTGAAAAAGCTATTGGCAAGGACCATGGCTGTGTCCTGCAGTGGATAGAGGTTACTTGGATCCACATATGGCTCAGGGAACCTTGGAAGAGAGTGAGAATGTCTGAAGTGTGCCTGTGCTGAGCATGGAGTGAAAGTGAAGCTTAAGTTGCTTTGCTTTTCTCTAAAAATGAATTGACATTTCTTAGCCTGGTTGGCAAACAACCCTCCGTTATGAATAACCTGCAGGAAACTAAGATGTGCAGGAATTTGCCTTCAGTCCTCAAAGCCTTCTCCAGAATATACACTGCCACTCTTCCAAGTCCCCCTGCTAATTTCAGCTGGCAGTCATCTCCCTTTCTGCATTTCTTCCTTCTAGCACCTGATCTCTAGCCAGCATAATCACCAATTGCATTTGGGGAAAATGGAGGAATACAACGTGGAAGGTCTCTCTAAGGAACACAAGCAGAACAGCAGCTGTAGGAGTAGATGTCACTGTCTCACAGTTGTGGGTTCATAGAATATTGGAGCTCGAAGGAACGTTATGGAGCATCTAAGCTAATTCCTTTAACCTAAAGGCATCTTAAATTCTCATGTCTCTAACTGATTCCTGATATCCCTCCCCTTACCCCTCTTTTCTTGTTTTCTTCCTTTCATTAGTGGTGACTTCATTCCTCTAATTACTCAGGGTCAAAAACTGTGACATTATACTTGACTCCTTGGTTTCTTCCATGCCTCACATCTGTTCTAACAGCAAACCCTATCATCTCACCTTCAAAATACAGTGAGCAAATGACTCCTTCTTTCCACCGCCTCTGCTACAACTCTGGTCCAAGCCATCTTTATGTCTCCTCTGGGTTACTGCAGTGGCTCGAGGATCAGAATAGGCCTAATCAAACTAGCCACCACTTTTGGCAAATAAAATTTTACTTGAACACAGCTACACTCTTTAGTTGACCTGGTCTATGACTGCTTTCATGCTACAAGAGTCAGAATATTTCAATGGAGCCCTTCTAGCCTGAAAAAAATATTTAGTATCTCTGACTCTTTACAGAAAAAGTTTGCCAACCTGTGCAATCATCCATTAAATTATGAATTGGATAACATCACTGGTTGACTCAAAATTCCCTCACTTGAGGTAAAAATGAAAGTCTATGAGGGACCTGTGTAAGTGGATCCCAAATGGTCTCTCTGACCTCCTTACCTGCTATTCTTCTCCTTGTATACTCTGATGTGGCCACACTGAGTACTTCCCTTGATGCTCCTCAGATAACCAGGCCTGCTGCTGATACAACACCTTGCATTTTTCTGTCCCTTCTATTTGAAACCACCTCTGTATTGACACTGCCTGGATTGCATAATTCTTCACGGTTTATTCAAACATCAACTTCCAATGATACCTCTCTGAAAACCTTATTTAAAATGGTAGCCCCTCATTGCTCTAATTTTATCCATAGCATATACCATAACTTATTGTAGCTTTCCCTTACCTGAAAAAATTCTTTTAAAAGAAGAAAAATTTTGTTGGGTTCATGGTTTCAGAGATTTAAGTCCACAGTCACTTAGAATATCACAGGCAGGGGAGAGGGGGCTGTGGTTAAGAAAAGCTGCTAACTTCACGGTGGCCAAGAAATGGAGAAGGAGAGGGAGACGCAGAGAGGAAGGAGTGAGAAGGGAGACTTGTCAGGAGTATTCTCCTAGTGACCTACTTCCTCCGATAAGGCCCCGCTTCCTAAAGTGTGTACTACCTTCCAAGGGCCCCATGTCTGAGCACTGATGTACTGGGAACTCCATGTATGAGCTTTAGGGGGGCATTTCAGCTCCGAACCATAACACTGGGCATGTCCTAGGTGTTTTATAAGTGAACTAGTCCTGGAAAGCACTGATGTTACAGCTCAGGTCAAATGTATCCAAGAGGGGCTTTTTATGAATAGTCCTGCTCAGTGAGTCACTAGGAATTCCAGGCAGAAATGGCTTTGTGAGTGCATTTCATTGTCTACTTTCTTGCTTCCCTTTGCTCTTCTTACTTCTTACTTTTTAAAGTGTCTCATGCCACTCTGAGTCTATGGTTATAGCATGTATGCTATTCCAGAACTTACTCCTTCCTGGTCTACCTGTCACTATTAAAACGTATTTCCCTGGCTTCTATTACCCAAAGACCCTGGCACATTCTCTTCTAAGCCGATAAACTCATTAAAGCTCAGATATTAATGAATAATAATGCCTCTACCTCCTGGAAAATAATTTGCATTTAAACAACTTTTAGTGCCTGAATGCAAAGAGGTAAGTGATGTGGGAATCCTCAGCAGGCACTAGGTCTGGGCCAGCTTGGGTAGCCACACAGAGGCCTGGAAGGAAAATCAAACCACAACCGATGGATCCAGTCCACTCAGCCTGCCTCTGCAGGGTGAGTCCAGCCATGCACACCCCTCAGAGCGCCCACACAGATAGGCAGGGTGCCAATTAGAGGCCTGAGAGATCAGAGCTTGCATAGAAATAAGCCTGTCACTTGTGGTATATGTACACACTTACATATATTACCATCGAATCCTTCCCTTAGTGCTTTGATAGCTTTTTTTCTGACACAAATATTTCTTGGGGAAGAAAGAGAGGAATTGGGTAGGTATACAATTCTGCCCTGAAAAGGAAAGACTAGGTGAACTGGGGTACAAATCCAAGCATATTCTTTACCGGGGTTGTACTGTATGTAGCTCAGAATATCATGGGGTTTTTGAAGATGGAGAGGAGGAAAGGGTTCAGAAGTGAAACTTTCTCACTACAACAGGACAAAAACATAATTCCTGATAAAGAGACCTTGTGCTACTCAGAGACAAAACTGACACAATGATCTGCAGGAGTGAGGAAGACGAATTTCTCCATTAGTACGTCTGGTGGATCTGTCCGAGCAGCCCTGCTGTACCTCCAGAGGCCCGGGCATCACGCCCGTCATGTGCAGAATGTTGCTGGCCTTCCCAGGACAGAGCAGGGCAGGCCAAGGCCTTGGCCTAGTTTACCAGAACCAGCTCCAGGGGTCCGAGCACTTGTGCCTGTCTAAAGTGAATGAAATTTCTTTTGAATTATGACTATGATTTCTTTGTCTACCACTCTACACAGTGCTACGTAGACCCCGCTGAGATTGCTACCTAGTGGAATGGGTATTGATCTGCAGCTCCTCCAGGGAATCCCTGGTGTTGTTTACCTCATTCTCTGGACAAAGAGACATTATAGTGTAGCTGTATGGATGCTTTCCACATTTTATCAAAATGATATCTTTGACAGAGAAACTCAGAGAGATTAGCATATATTTCAGATATTAAGTAACCACCCCCACCTGCTAAGGATTGAACCCATGGCCTTCATGCTGAGCTACATTGCTAGCCCTTAATTAAATTTTAATTTCGAAACAGTCTTGCTAAATGT